GAATGCGTTGCAGATTTTAGAGTTTTGCAGAGTGTTTGGAAAGGTATGATTTCATGTTAACAAATTTTCCTGATGTTTTTTCTAATTAATTGCATTTAATAGTTCACTGATTGAAAATAACCCCAATCGGCAAATTCCTTTAATGTTATAGAGGGATGTTACCAAATTGGAACTAATTATTTCTATCAATATCATGAACGTTATTTAATTGAACGTTTTGACCATCAACGATATTTCCTTCTGTTACATTAAATTATATTGCCTTGAAAAAATTGTATTATTTTTCAAACTTCTTGCTTTATAGTTATGGTGCTGCAGCCATTCATAATATATTTGTCAAGTATTTCTTCACTGTTGTTCTTGTGTGTAATTATAATCAGTCTCTTGATCTCAAGAAAGGAGAAGCTGAAGCCATTTTTAAAGAATATTGATCAGTAAAGAATGTATGGATGAACACATTAGATTGTTGGCATTGATCGTAAACAGTTCGAAAAAGGAGTGGGTTATCCCTTACAACTCTTGTTTGAAGTTTTCTTAGTGATTAAATTTTTTTGAGATGCTTGAATTAAAGTTTTCATATGGATGATTTTGGTGTAGGTTTCCATCCTTGTCATGAAACTAATTCATGGTTGAAACATTTAGAGGATTTGATTATGCAATCACATCACCCTCTAAATTATTTCTCTTGGATTGATTTCAAGAAGGGATCAATGAACTATAAATTGAATTTGTCTAAGAAATTTAAACTGATGACTCTTTGTGACAAAGCTTTGAACACTGAGTAAGTATTTCAAGTGCTCTGTTAAAAAATATTCCTTTTTGTGTATTCTTCTTTTGTTTTATTACTTGTTTAATATGCCCAGAAAACTAAGGAGCTATATTCAGTACGAAAATTCGTGACATGCAAAAGTAGTGAAAGAAGAAAAACTTAAGATTGATGCAGCTAAGGAAAAGGTAATAGAAAACAAGGTGTTATGATGCTCTTTGTATATGGATTATCTTGATGTTATAGTGTGTTTATAATAATTCTATGTGTATGATATGTATAGGTAAAGTCTCTTGCACAGAACAAGTTGCAGAGAAGATCAAAGTATCTCCATTCCGATTGAGGAGCATGATGCTCTAAGATAAGAACTGAGGTTGACGAAACACAGACTTAGATGTTAAGGTTAAAGAGCACAAGTGAAAAATGTATGTCATGATTAATTGATTATGAATTATATATTGGCTAAAGTCCTCCACTTTCATTTTTTAGGTCAAAATATTTTGGTGTGGAACAAATATCCATGGTTCAAAGTTATCAAGTTGTAAATCTTTATATGGTGGCCATTTTTATCAAACTTAGAGTAGGTTCCTCCTTTGTTTTTAGACTCAAGAGACCTTCATTATCGTAATCATTGTATATAATTCTTTTTATATTTTATTTTAGTGGAATACGAACTGAAATAATTTTTTGTAATTTAATTACTATTTATAGTTGCATTTTTTATTTAACTAGTTAGATGTACAATAATATATATATATATATATATATATATATATATATATATATATATA